AATCCGAGCGGGTCATCCAAAACCTGTAACTGTGGTCAATTTTGGGTTCTCGCGCTGCCAGAACGCAGTTCCCAGGCCACATTTTGGACGCAACAAGGAAGTTTTTGGGCTCCTCAGGCCTGAATTTGGAGGAAGTCTCAGGCGGGAGCCTCGTCTCTGAGTGAATCGCGAGGAGCCAGCTGTAAGCCACTTCGTGTTCGTCGTGTTCCCAGAACGCTATTCCCGGCACGCATCCACTGGGACGCACCCCTGTGCGCTTCCTCTGGGTCGTGCCCCCGCACGTATCCACTGGGACGCACCCTTGTGCGCTTCCTCTGGGTCGTGCCCCTGGCACGTATCCACTGGGACGCACCCCTGTGCGCTTCCTCTGGGTCGTGCTCCGGCACGTATCCACTGGGACGCACTCCCGTGCGTTTCCTCTGGGTCGTGCCCCGGCACGTATCCACTGGGACGCACTCTTGTGCGCTTCCTCCTGGTCGTGCCCCCGCACGTATCCACTGGGACGCACTCTTGTGCGCTTCCTCCTGGGTCGTGGCCCGGCACGTATCCACTGGGACGCACCCCTGTGCGCTTCCTGTGGGTCGTGCCCCCGCACGTATCCACTGGGACGCACCCTGTGCGTTTCCTCTGGGTCGTGTTCGGCACGTATCCACTGGGACGCACCCCTGTGCGCTTCCTCTGGGTCGTGCCCCCGCACGTATCCACTGGGGCGCACTCCTGTGCGCTTCCTCTGGGTCGTGTTCCGGCACGTATCCACTGGGACGCACTCTGTGCGCTTCCTCTGGGTCGTGCCCCTGGCACGTATCCACTGGGACGCACTCCCGTGCGCGTCCTCTGGGTCGTGCTCTGGCACGTATCCACTGGGACGCACTCCCGTGCGCTTCCTCTGGGTCGTGCTCCGGCACGTATCCATTGGGACGCTTCACAGTTCGATCTACATTCGTGCTTTTGAAGCAGGAAACTATGCCCTTTTTTCCCCACATCCAAAGTGGGGTTCTTGTTTTCTCTGGACACCCCGCGCAGGAACAGGAACACACACACACACACACCCACTCACACTCACTCACACTCTCTCATCATCAACCTCATCAGCATCATCGATGATGCTCTCTCACATGCTTAGTCACTCACATACTCATCATCATCATCACTCGCACTCTCTCACACGCTCACGAACATCATCATCATCATCATCGGCATCGGCATCATCCTCATTCAAACATCAGAGAGAGCGTGATCCACCGCCGCTTTACTGTGGAAAATTGCCAACCTTTTCCTCCGGTGCCCGGGGGTCTCCCCCCCCCCCCTCCGAAAATCCCCCCCCCCCTGCGCAACCCTCCCCCCCCCCCCCCCACCCCTCCTCCCTCCCGTCAAACCCTCATCTGCGTCTCAGCATCCTCCCCCCCCCCCTCCCCCTCGAAAACCGGGGGGGGGTCACTACCGGTTCGAACTCCTCCACCCCCCCCCCTCCGGATCCGGAAAACCGGGGGGGGTCACTACCGGTTGGAACCCCCCCCCCCCTCGAAAACCGGAGGGGCGTCACTGCCGGTTCGACCCCCCCCCCACGCACCGCCAGCAAACGACTCCCGGTCCCTACCACCGCTCGCATCACATCCCCCACTATTGTTCCCAGCACCACTGTCCTCACCACCACTGTCCCCACTGGTTCCACCACCGTCCCTATTGTCCACACCAGTGCCCCCGCCACTGTCGCACTGTCCCCACTGTTCCCACCACTGTTCCCACCACGGTTCCACTCTCCCCACTGTCTCCACGGACCCAACCACTGCCTATCCCCATTGTCCCCACTGTCCCACTGACTCCTCCGCTGTCCCACTGAGCTGTCCCACTGTTTCCACCACTGTCCCCACTGTCCCCACCACTGTCCCCACTGTACCTCTGTCCCATTGTCCCACCGCCGTCCTCGCCACCGCCTTTACCAACGTCTCCACCACCATTGTACCCTCCACTGTCCCAGTGTTTCCACCTCATTCCCACTGTCCCCACACCACTGTCCCCACCACCACCGTTCCACCACTGTCCACTGTCCCCCCTGTTCCCACCATTGTCCCCACCACTGTCCCCACCACTACCGTCCCCACCACTGTCCCACTGTCCCCCCACTGTCCCCACCACTGTCCCGCTGTCCTCTCACCACTGTCCCCACCAACACCGTCCCCGCCACTGTCCGCACCCCCACTCGGTTTTCGAGGGGGGGGGGGGGGGGGTTCGAACCGGTAGTGACCCCCCCCCTTTTCATGATGAGCTGGGGGGGGGGGGAGGGGTTCGAACCGGTAGTGACCCCCCCCGGTTTTCCGGAGGGGGGGCGGGGGGGAGGGGTTCGAACCGGTAGTGACCCCCCCCGGTTTTTTTTCCGCCATCAGCGGTAGTACCACGCTCTTTCAAACATCATCATCGCCGACCACCACTCACAATCAATCATCATCCTCTTCACCACTCATCTCACCACCACTCATCATCCTCATCCTCATCGTCTGTGAGTGAATTGGGAGGAAGTCTCAGGCGGGAGCTCCCTCCCTATGGGGCTCGCAGATCATGTTGGTAATCCGAGCGGGTCATCGGAACCTTGTAACTGTCGTCACTTTTGGGCTCCTCAAGCCTGAAGTTGGAGGAAGTCTCAGGCGGGGGCCTCGTCTGTGAGTAAATTGTGAGGAAGTCTCAGGCGGGAGCCCCCTCCCTATGGGGCCCGCAGATCACGTTGGTAATCCGAGCGGGTCATCGGAATCCTGTAACTGTCGTCACTTTTGGGCTCCTCAAGCCTGAATTTGGAGGAAGTCTCAGGCGGGAGCCTCGTCTGTGAGTGAATTCTGAGGAAGGCTCAGGCGGGAGCCCCCTCCCTATGGGGCCCGCAGATCATGTTGGTAATCCGAGCGGGTCATCGGAACCTTGAAACTGTCGTCATTTTTGGGCTCGTCAAGCCTGAATTTGGAGGAAGTCTCAGGCGGGAGCCTCGTCTGTGAGTGAATTGGGAGGAAGTCTCAGGCGGGAGCTCCCTCCCTATGGGGCCCGCAGATCATGTTGGTAATCCGAGCGGGTCATCGGAAACTTGTAACTGTCGTCACTTTTGGGCTCGTCAAGCCTGAATTTGGAGGAAGTCTCAGGCGGGAGCCTCGTCTCTGAGTGAATTGTGAGGAAGTCTCAGGCGGGAGCCCCCTCCCTATGGGGCCCGCAGATCATGTTGGTAATCCGAGCGGGTCAGGAATCTGGCTGCAGGTGCACGGCTTCAAGGAGTCTCCGATCTACCAGGAGGTCGCCGAGGTGCTGCGACAGGGCGCCGGAGGCGCCGACGACGACGGCCAGGCCGAGGCGCGGGCGCGGAGCTTGCTGATGTTCAGGCCCAGCGAAAGGGAGTTCACATGGCAGAGCTCGGGGGCGCACAGCGTGCGCCGCTCGGGGT